TGCCCTACTAATTTCACCTGCTTTAGACACCAGTCTAAAGTTATTGCTCGCCATGAAAGTGTACAATTTGGAGACCCCTTCTTCGCCTTTCTTACAGGAGGATTGAAACCATTAATAGTGCTAACATTTGTTAACTAGCTACTCAGTTAAGGGCAAAATGAATCGTGAATGACTGTACAGGCAAGCTGTCTTTCCAGGTCTAGACAACTTTGCAATAACAGGTAATGCGTGAATATTTGTCTGGGCTCAGATAGAACCTGCTGCTTTTTATAGTCCCTGGTTGAAGCATAGACAACAGCCCTTGCACTAGCTCAGATTCTGAATCAGGCTAATGGGTAAGAACTCTTCTGCACCATGATCATCCCGTAGATCAAATTGTGTGCCTCTGTGATTGAGGCTACAATTGTCTCTCTTCAAGACTGCACTGGCACAACTGAGCTGTTATCAGTGTTACACAGAAATAAGTTGCCTTCTGATGGGATTCTTGAGTGAAGCACTGCATAAACCCTGCAGTTTTAATTTGCTGGAAGGAAGAATACCACTTTGATATTCACCCTCACTTCTGTCAAACAAGATATGTGCTCTGATCTGCCATGACTGCAATTTCATAACTTCAGTAATACACCGCCACACAGCAGCAAGGACATGTTTTTGCTGAAGTCAACAAACCCAACATGATACTGTTTTAGGCTTCGTGTTATTTTTCACTGTGGTGTTAAGGCTGTTTGTTTGGTCCTTCCCTAATAAACACATTTATTCACGTTACACAGATTTGAAATTTGATAATAAGGTAAAGCATGCAAGTCTCAAGCATAGCAGGATCCACAATAAAAAAGTAATAAATGACTGAAATTTCATTAAGATAAGGACATGCAGAGCTAGAATTAGGACTGTTAAAAAACTAAAACCAGTATCCTTACCTCCTCTTCTTTCTGAGAAACCACAAAGAAGAGATGGAAAGAGAGAGAAATCTCGAGAATACAGCTTCTCCACACCATTAATTATGGCAGTTAGAAGAATCAAGCGCTTTGGACAGACTTTGCCTGGATTCAGGAAAGCGCTTTAACATGGGTTTAAGTTTACCCTCTGTTTGGAAAGTACTTAAGTATAGGCTTAACTTCGAGCAGACGTTTAAGTCTCCTTGACTTTAGCATGTGCTCAAGTGCTACCTACAAAGGAAGCATTTTCCTGAAGCAGGAGACCATCTTGGCTTAGGCACTGGATTAGCTGTCAAGAGACAGGAATTTGTTCTTGTCTCTACCCCGGCCACTGACAGGGTGAGCCCAGGCAAAAAACCCCGTGCATCAGTTTTATCACCCGTAAAATGCAGCTAACTGCAAAATGCTCCAATGTTGATGCATGAAAAGCATTACATTTAAGCACACATTCGTATCAATATACTCAGGGCATTCTTGCACTGTCCTTTCAAACAACTGGTGCTGGCAACTGCTGGACAATGAAGAATCTCAGTTGCACATCCTCCTTATCCTTCCCTATTAATTCAGAACGATAATTACTATATTGGCTGATTTCCACTTCTTATACACCTTCTAGAAGCACCTTTTTACATATTTTATTTTAGCATTAAAAATTCCATTGACGTTAAAGGGTTATTAAGTTGTTGGATGCATTTTACACCTTCATACGTGAAGATAGTTTGGATTTTCATTAGTTAGAGCTAACACCAGTTTTCAATAAAATATTAACCAAACACACACAGTAATAGTTCATGTGGATCTATCCACTACTTCAATAAAATTAACAGACTTAGATATTTACTCTTGCCCCTGCAGTAATATTTTCCCACATTACATTTCAAACAATGAAATGACACTAAATTCATTTAAAACAAATTTATATTGTTGTTATTTTAAACAATACTTAATTTAATTTCAGTGTTTGGCATGCAAAGTTTGAAAATATCAATATTATTGTTTAATATATAAAAAAATAATTCAGCTACAAATTATTAGCATATGCAAGCTTCCCAAATGACTTCCAGGGCTGCTATTTACATTAAACCTGAAAATGAGCACAACCAGCCAGATGTAACTATGCCATTCAGAGAAGGGGATGCTAAGATTTAAAAGGAAAAAAAGGGCATTCAGTCCCAGTTTCAGTCCTTTCACCTGCACTGAGTGGTAGCTTGTCCAGGGGGGTGTCACCACGGGTTTGCTGTGGCTGAACTGAGCAGAGGAACAAAAACGTGAAGAGAGATGTGGAGATAACCAATACATTGCTCACTGTGGAGCTTTTTGGGCTGCATTTGTCACCAGCAAACCTCTAAATATGTGGCAAATTCATCATTTCCCTCACAGATGGAGAAACTGAGGCACCACAGCTCTTCTTACATGGAGGACACTGGAGATATGGCCACATGGATGGGGGACACAAGCCTGTTCTCACAGCCACAGTCCAGTCCTCACCTCCCTGTCTCCATGGCTTCTTGTACAGTAGGGTCTGCCCCAGTGATGACAAACCAAGAGTGTGGTGCTGGCTACCTTAACGGGTAGATAAATTCCACTTCAGGCAAGCGCCGTTTGAAACAGCAAACGTTTCAAAGCCTGTAAACCATGTGGAGAGTCAAGGTAAATAACATGCACACATGTCCCTGAATGCTCCACCAACAGGAAGGAGATGCTCCATCACTCGGAAACAAGCTGCTCCTTGAAAATTGCCAGGATGGCTCTTGCTGAGCTTTCCTGCTAATGACAGCAAATTGGTAGAGCCTGGGAACGCCTGCAACAAGCCAATGACTCAAGACAATCTTTGAGAAAATCACAAAATATGTTTAGATTTGATCTTTACCTGCGAACATTGTCCTTTAAACCCCTTTTAACAAAGAAGCTTTGTTAAAGCTATTCTTTGAGGATGCCTTCCACACATTCAGCACTCAGAGGAGCTCTGATTCAGAATAAAACAAGTGGCTGGAAGAGTGTGTGGGTATTTAGCTAATTATATGTTTGATAAATTTGTGTTTTAAAACAATGCTGCTTGTCTCCTCCCTTTGCAGAGTGCCAGTTCCCATGGATTGGCAATTAGATGTAATTAGGTCTTGTGATTTCCACATTTGTCTTCATGTCACAAAGCTTACTACTAAAAATGCTCATTTTGATTGTAGGCGTTTTCTAATTGCTTACAGCCTGGAGCAGTAATAGAAACCATTGGCAGCCACAGCACCTGAGTTTCCTGTTGAATCAAGGAGCTATTTGCTGCTCAGCTTTCCAGGAGGACTTTGCCTCTGAAGAAGTCTCAGCCAGTACTTTGTCTGGGTCAGCTGCACTGAAGTCAAAGACGGGGACTTACAGCCTGCTGGCTGACGTGTCAAATCAACTAGTAACCTGGGAGGAGGGTGGGAAGTTAAAGACCAAATTCCATAGCTGCTAAAAATTTAGAGAGGAGGTATTGAGCTCTTTTTCTCAGAATAACATGTCAGTGTTAGAGCGATAATCTACAAAACTTTCAGAATTCGCGTCTGTGAATGTTACTTGGTCCCATGCAAGACATTTTTGTGCAGCTTGTAGAAGGGACAGATATGCTGTGCACTTCCAAGGTGGAAAGGACAAGAAGGAATGGGATTAAGAGCCAAAGGAAAATATGAATTAGCCATTAGGCAAAATCTCTGCAGAGTGAGAATTGTGAAGCAGTGAGCTAGGCTGGTGGTGGTATAGTTTATTCTAAACTGAAGATCCTTAAGAATGGTTAGGGAAATAGCTAGCAGGAGTAATTTTAGTTTTGTTGGGTACTGGGTCTGGGAGGTTGCCTAAATAGCTTCCTAAAAGCCTTTTGAGCCTTATTCTTTGGTTTTATGAGTACCACAGATCTTTCTCAGCCCACCATTGTTTCAGTCTGGGTGCATTTGTCATGTAAGTCAAATGGGCACCAGTTCCCTCTCCTGGCTGGATCTTCTAAGTTCTTAAATGCATTCCCCTGAAGAGTGCATAGCAGAAGGGTGCATTTGACAAGCACAATTTGAGATAAGCAGCCCTGAGGAGTTTTAGGACACTGAAGAAAGAAAATAATCTTCTGGTTTCTTCTTTGCACAAAAAAGATTTAAAATAACTCCATCCCCTCTGGTCTGCAGAAAGAGACACTCTAAACCAGATAATCTCCAGCTCTTAGACAGAATGTTTTCTCTGTTGATCTGGAAGATCTTTGCTAAGGAGGTCAGCAGTGTGATCCTGTTTTGCTGATGCAGACAGGTGTGCAGATCTGAGCTGTGGCCATGCTACCAGGTTAGCGGAGATGGGAGCTGCTTTGTCTGTTCCGAGGCAGGTATAGGCTGTGCTCACACCTTCTTGCGAATGGAGAGCACGACACCTCCAGCCTGTGCATCTGTGTGGGCACACCAGCTGGGCCCCAGCAGAGCTAAGCTTGCCATGTCTAAGTCCATCAGCAGACACCATAAGACCAGCTCTTTCTTAGCACACTGAAGATGCTTTGTGCCTTGCTGACTGCTTGGCAACATGGGCGAGAGGCATGAGCGGGTCACAAAATATAGCAATTTACTCTCAGTCCTCTTCCTCGCCATGCTGTGTAGACATACAACTAGCAACTGGCTTATGTTCACCCCACAGGTCACGGGTGAAGCAGAAGCAGAGCTAAAGACATCATCTGGTTGTCCTGATGCTTTCCAGCGATGTATCTTTGCCTGGAGCAAGCACACATATGGATGATGATGCATGTGTTTGTGCACATTCCACCTGCAGAGACTGCAGCTCTTTGTCTAGCAAATGCTGCTGTGACAAAACTGTTCCCTATCACTCTCTTTTGTTAAATATTTGCTACAACACTAGCTCAGTGCTTTTCTTAAACTCCACAATCTTGGATTTAGGACTGACAATAGAGAAGAAGCACAGAAAGAGTGTATGTGTTCACAGGGATAACTCCTAAAAATTCAAAGTCTGATGGTCGTAACATCACATGAGACTTTATTTGTTTCTTCAGTTAAGCTTTGTGAAGAAAAAAAAAAATGCCTAAAAACTATCTAGTTTATTTTTGTCTGGAACTGCAGGGCAGATGAGTTTTCCAGAAGGGATAGAAGGCTGCCATTGATTTTATTATTGAGTCAGTTTTAATGAGTCACAGTATTTTTGGAAGGCTTTTAAGATTACTGTAAAGTGCTTAGTTACAGTGGCTACAGGTGCCAAGGCAGGAAAGGCAACAACAAAAAAATACACAGCAGCTGTATTGCTACACTTCTGAGAACTGGGATCAGCAGAACGATACACATGGAAAATGCAAAAGAAAATAGGAGAAAATGTAAGAGATGAGAGAAGTCAGCATGGTCAGCTGCTATGCTACAGCAAAATGCATTTTATTTAGGGGACTGTCCAATGCCCTTTAGCCACAAGTTGGAAAGGGCCTCTGACAGACTGTGGATTGCCAAGACATTCAGTGAATTGCATGTTTGCCTTTCAAGCTGTCCTTTGGTTGCAAGTCATTTGCTCCCATAGCTGCCAAGCTCTACCACTGCCATCCTGTGTTGAATGAAACTGGAAACATCTCATTTAGCAGATGAGAGAAGAGAAGGTAGAGAAGGGAGAAAGAGGTGGCATGAAGAGAAAAAAAAAGTGCATTTTTTGTTGTAACTGGAACAAATTTCCTTTTTCTTTTTGCCTGTGCCCTTCTGAAATACATAGGGCATAGCATTCAAAGAGCTCACAGACATACTCTATCTTATAAGGCAAGAAAATATTCAATGTTTTGTACTAAAAAGAATGTACTAAGAAGTACATTCTGAAGATGTGGGGATGCAAATCAAACAACCTCAAAAATACAGGGCTAGAGAAAACATTTACAGTTATCATACAATGTGCTTGCTAGATTTTCAGATACTTCCCGTGATAATTGGACTCAGAGTTAAGTAGAAACAGCAACCATGATTTCAGTGAGCCAGCTCTGAGTAGGATCCACTGAACATGCACACATCTGCCTCTGCCTTGGCATAGCAAGTGGCTGCATGCACAGCTGGATACTTGCATATGCAAATACTGGTTTGTATGTACAGATAGCTGCATGCAGGCCAGAAATCAGTTCTGACTTGGAGGCCCATTTCAGCCTCCTCCTGCTGCCCCCACCCCCTTCACCAGATGGGCACACGCAGAATATTCTCCAGGCTGCAACAACAGCATCATGAAGGGTCACCACCGACTTCACAGCATCTTCCAGCATCCTCACCAACCACATTGCTTGCCCTGGAGATGCCACATAGCAACCTGGGCACCAGACACCCTGTGTCTGCAAACAGGCATGCACGAGAAAGGCAGTGAGAGCAAAAGAAACTACTTATTGTCTCTGGTGGGGTAGAGTCGCAGCAGATCCAGTCCTGTGTCTGCTTTTCATGCGTGACTGGCATGAGTCCCACCGCTAAGTCCTTGGCTGACGGCCATGTGCAGAGTGGCAGGCACCTGTCCCTGCTGGGAGACCTGGCGACCCCGACCTGCCCTAATGGTTAGTTCTTTTCTAACATCATGTCTACTTGAATTTACCTCAGGATTTCCCCCCTCTGGGTGCCAGGGAGCTAGGCTGATGCCAACTGCTTCACCATGGATAAAGCAAGGAGCGTTCCCAAGCTGCACTTGGGCACCCTTGAAGCATTCAGCTGTACTCTCCTCACTGGAACAGATGGGGCACATGAAGGTGTTAGTGTCTTCCACCACATCAGCAAAATACCCCAGCACTGGGATAAAGTCAGGAGGGAAAAATCCCAGCGGGGCTCCCTCTCCACTGTCCTTAAAATGCAGTTTGAGACGTGCTGAGGAGCTTGCCTGGCTCCATGCTCCCAGCTTGGGGTGGCAACGGGCCTAAAAGCTCTCCCCCACATCCTTCACACAAGGACATCATCCTGTACCCACAAGTCTGAGAGTTATGGGCTGCATTTTGGTTCATTTTCTTTGGGAAGCCTGTTCCATCTTTTCCCTGTCAGCTCTTTCACTCCTGCAGCAGCACCTTGCAAATACAGATCTAAACCTTTCACAAGTGGCTCTGCTGGAAAGGAGGACAAGGAATTTCATTGCACAAGAGACAAAACAGAGACCAGCCAGAAAAGGTTTTATTTGCAGAAAGTTTAGGGCAGAGATAGGGCTAGGACATGGATGTCCTTATTCTGCAGCCTGTTTCTTACATAAAACTCTACTTTCTTCAGCGTTACAAATTTGAGTGGAAATATTTTCAAAGCGTGGAGAATTTTTGAGTGATCTCCCATTATTTCAGCTTTATTTATGGTCTCTTGTCCCAGTATAGGCACTTTTCACTTATCCTTCTGAAGAAAAAGAACAGAAGCTTTTGCTTTCTATCAAATAATCTGCATTGGAAATTGGCAAGCTCTGTGCACCTCATCCTCAGTTTTGGTGGCATGAAGTTCATCAGATAGAAAGAATGACAAATGGGGTTGAAGAGAACTTACTCTGCATGGTTGCCTCTTGCCAATGAAAATGGAGCTATACCATGTGCAACAGAAGCTGCCTGCTCTGTGATGAGGAAGATAGGGTGGCTGAAGGCAGAGCACCTCATCTCTACTGCCTTGTTTCAGACACTCAGTGGCTCTCAAGCCGCCTTTCTCTTCAAGCAACCATGGACCACAGTTTCTTTTGTCTGTCATGCTCCCCCTGACCTCAGATATTCCTGGACCAAGCCGTCATCTGCAAGATGGATACAGTACCTGCCGCCTGGAAGCTTTACATCAGCAGGCTCCACTGCAAAAAAAATAACATGAGGAAAACTGAAGATCCAAATCCTCTCTCTTAGAAATCAATGCTTGTTTTGTATTTAGGTTCACAGAGGTTCAGGAGCCAGCATAACCAGGGCTGGAAAATAGAAAGGACTGAGCAAAAAGTGCTTTGTGCTAGGACCACAGACCAAGACTGAAGTCAGTAATATTCTCAGGCCTGTTCATCTGTAAAAAGAGGCTAAAAACAGCCTAACAGCAGTGAGATGAAGGAAAAGCCATCATTTAGGGCAGTGGCAACTCATTAACCCAAATGACCTGCATCTCTGGCGAGCACTGACCCAAGGACTTGCGAATTTACCTCCACTACCCAATAAACTGTCGCTGCCCAGCTTCTCTAATTAAAATAGTCCTGGATTTGCAGGACCTACCCAGAGAATAAACTGGAATTTATCAGATTAGCTAAGCCAGATCATACGTAGAGCATACAGGCTGGCCAACAGCCTACTTTGGACCAGATTAAGCAGCTAAAATAATTAGGGATTTTTTGCAAAGTCTGCCCCTAAAGACTGGCATTAAAGAAATCTACTAAAGACTGAGCATATATTGCAGCCCATTCCTTTTTACCCTATTTAGTTCTTAACTTGGTGTTCTTTGGCAATTGCTGGGAATCATCTTTTTATCTTTCACTAACCAGGGGAAAAAAATTCTCTCTCTGCAGCTCCTTCAGGTGATCTGTGTCAATGGGAACTGGTGAATCTCTGAAAGAGTAAGGAGGCTATATTTAATGTATTCTTTACTCCAAAACTCTGGTCCCCCTATTCCTGTGCTCTGGTCCCTGAATTGTCAGCCTTGTGTAACGAGGAATGATTAGTGGGGAATCTATGGACTGACTGAGAGCAGAGCTGTATCTTGTCCTGATCATGTAAGATGTCCCTGCTGGAAAAGGATGAGGAGGTTAAGAAAGTCTTGCAGCCTGAAAAAGACAGAACCCTGGGGGCTACATGTGAAACAGGGGTCTTTCTACTGGTCTCCTCAGGGGTAAGGTGGTGCACTGGTGCATCCCTCCACCCGCTCTCACCCAGTTACGTGCACGGGAGCCAGCAGTGACATTCTGGCAGATGTTTCTTCAGTGCAATACAGGCTTTGCTGCCACTCAGGCAAAACAGGTTTTGCTACCAGAGCCAAAGGACTGCAGCCACGGGGAGGAGAAGAAGGAGGAGCAGAGCCAGGAGGCACCTGAGAGCTGGATTTCCTGCTCTTCCCTGTTCTCACCCTCCCTTAGCAGCCTCTGCCCAAGCCAGACAGAAGAGCCACGGGCATCTTGTTCCCCTCTGTGGGTGCAACCAGCTACTTGGCTTGTGCCTGGAGCAGGCCTTGTGCATTCTCAGCACTGCTTTGAACCTATATACAGTCACTTCAGAGGGGAATCAAGCCTGAAGCCTTCTGGGACATTTCTATGAGGCTCTGCTTTTTTGTGTCACTGGTTTCAGCCTTTCCCTTTTCCTTCAACATTTACAGATTTTTTTTCCACTACACAGAAGGCATATTTTTTAAAAAAAGGTGTCAAACATCCTAAAACCAGGAAAGCTGCTTTTCTGATGGCCTCAGCTGTGAGATGCACCAGCATTCACTCACCTCCATTCTCCTTATCAAGAATCTGTCTGAGCACAGCCAACACCAGAATAGAAGGCAGCAGGTGACAAGGGGGGAAATAAGATGCTGCTGTCCTTGAGCCAGTGCTGGTCTGGAGTAGTTGTCTCTGAACAGTGAGGCAGCAGAAAGAAGGGTAAGTCGTTAAAGGAAAGAAAAAGACCTTTTCCCACTAGTTTTGACTTTGTCAAGGACACCAGGAGATTCCTGTTTTGTTATAAACTGAAAATAGAAAAAACACCTAACAGTCAGCCTTTTCATAGAAAAGAGCCATACCTTCATCAGAGCTGTGACCGGTTCAGGCAGTGGCTCCTATATCATCACATCTCTGCCTAGCCTGTAGGTCACTCTCCTCCTTCTCTTGCCACTCTGGAATGTACTGGTTTGAAAAACGTGAAAACCCCATGCCTCTCTCACCAGCTGAAAGCATATTTCCTTTCTCAGGAGCACACGTCCATCCGAGCTCAAAGATGCAGGTTTATTTCAGCTGTGGCATTTGCAGCCCTGTCTGCACAACCTAACTTTTCTGCACCCGTAATAGCCACTCAAAACAATTCTGCACCTCCAGGCTAACTAAGGGAATCTGTTGCTTGCTGCTGGTTAGAGGGTATGACCTCACACAAACAAACTAAATGCTAACTGGCCTGCAAATGAATCTTTGCATCTGCTTTTTGGGCAGAGGAACAGCTGCCACAGCAGGAGAGAACTGCTCAGACCCAGCATTCAGCCTTGGCTGCAGGGACCTGGCTCCTGAATTTCCACATGTGAAATTTCTACTGATGTAAATGAGGGAGCTCCATAAACCAAACAGTACAAATCTGAGCAGTAAGGTTTTTCTCCTAGGTGTTCAAAGGGCCCATGCAGCTTTAGCTATGTTCTCACAAAGAATACTCAGAGGGCTTGCTATAGGATCCAGGGCTGAACCCCGAATCTTTCACTGAAGTTAGCATTCATCCTCTTTTCTAGAAGTGAGTCCAGAAGCTGACCTAAGACACCCGCCGGGGGGATAGTATATAACAATGGAGGCTGTGTAGTTTATGTAAAAACACTTAACATCACAGCTGCTTCCCTCCCCTACACCCTTAGCAAAATTTTCCTTCCCTCTCCCATTTAAATACCTGTTTTTTGATCATTTCACAGGGTTGGCAGAACAAGCACAATGGAAATAATGTTTGCTCGGATCTGTTTTTGAGTGTGTGTATGTGTGTGCATGAATTTTTGGCAGAATCAGTGTTTGCAAGAAGCAGATAAAACTTTCGCGTTCAAGAATCACTGACAGCCAGGAATTGCTGCCTGCTAGCAAATCTCTACTTACCGAGGGAGATCATGTCATTGTTAGCCAGGTAGAGTGGCTGGAGACAGAAATCTAGAGAGCTCCCTCGTTAGTCTATAAATTAAATAGTTGTTTAGCAATAACTCTAAGACAGTAAATCTCTGTGTGTGAACTCACTTCAAGATAAAATCCAAACTTGGTTTGCCCTGCTCATACAGCACAGATGCATATGCATCCTGGAAGCTACATAACCCAGTAATATTTTATTCACATCACACTCCAAGGAGCTCACTGACTGGAATTCAATAGAAACTGTTCTCTGTGTGAAAGTAATTTCAGAAAGTAATCTAGTTTATGGAAATGAAAGGCATCAAAACACAAAAAACACTGTTTCTGTACAAGTGCTTTGCTTCAAATATTTGACATGGAAATTTATATAATCCCTCTGGGGCACATGGGTTTCACGAGTGTTAACATCTTTTGAAATGAATTTCACAAATGTTTATTTGGAATACCAGGCATACAAATAATTTAGAATATCAAGGCATCTTTTGAATCAGACTTAATGATACAGATCTCACATGGCTGCAAAGGTTAAAAGATATGAATTTTAATTGGGTGTATGGAAGATGTCATTTTCAATCATTGCACTACACTGCCAAAGCTATCACTTTTCCATTCTAAGCTTCCTGCTACCTCCTCCTCAACTCCTTCTATTACTTAAAGACCAAAATGAAACATTTTTCACATTTTATTTGTGTGCTGGGCATGTATTAAATACAGAGGTTTGCTGCCTATCTTGGTTTATACAGGACCCCATCACCTCTGTATTGCTACACTTCTCAAGCAATAAAGAGGTTGACTTTTTCCAGACAGATAGTGGTATATTGTCATTCCAGTTTTATATAAAGTTAAATGATTAAAGGCAAACAGTGTCAAGGCCATCTACAGCATAAACAGTTGCTAAGACTCTGGTCAAAGTCAGATTTTACAGCTGCCTTCTCTCTCCCCTGCTCCCACAGTGGGTCCTACTTACAATACAGTATAAATCAGACATGAAATTCTTTCACCATTTAAAATCTATATTTTAATTGGTAGACCCACTTCTGGCTTTGGATAATGTGATGGATAAGCCTGAAAAGAAAAACTAGCTGGGTACCTGTTAAGAAGTCTTTGTCCATCCTCTGCGGCAAAGGAGCAAGGATCCTGTGGGAAAAGATATCGTGTGATTGAGTAATTAAAAATTATCATAAGCCATAGGCATCAGGAGGGCAAATTAAGCCTGCAAAGGCAACATGAGTTCTGAGCGTTCAATATTGCAACTTTAAGTTTCATTTTAAGTTTGTTCAGAACCTAGATTTGTAATCAGCTAGATTTTATCCAAGATACTGTTTTTCTGTATATTGCCAAAAGAAAGGAACTTGGGAGGGAAAAATGAAGGGCAGTTTGTTCATATGGAACAAGGTGTTTGGGTCCCTCAGTGGCTCACTCACTGGTAAACTTTAGATGTGCTCAGCCAATGTGAGGGAGCTAAGCTGGGCATGTTCTGGGGAAAAACGGCCTTGGGCCAGAGCAGGCACTGTGCAAACCATGACTTCAGAGAAATGAAGCAGCCAAATTTCAAGAAACCTCTAAAGAACATGCACACTACTGATAATTTGGCCAAACATGGGTGTATTTCAAGAAGGGCATGAAAAACACTTTGTTCACAGGCAGCATACAGCCAATTTCCCTTCTACTCCCAAGTGTGAAGATAAAAGCTCAGCAAATGGCTCTGAGATTTTTTTTTCTCTTTTTGCAAGCAAATTTTGTTCCAAGACTCACCATTGTTTTCTTTGAAATGTCCATTGTCAGCATCAGGAGCAAAATGAGTGTGAGGCAACCATCCAACCCACACTAGCCTGAACCGCTGGAAGAAAAGAAACATCAGTCTTCTAGGAGGACACATTAAAGATGCCCTGCTGAATTGTCAGGTCTACCTACACCTAGGGTAATTCTGATTTCAAACACATTTATGTGCTAGGATTGGTGGCCTGAACTATTTAACAGCAACCTTTCTGGTCAGGCAACTGCCAGTGAGATCAGTGACTTTGCACACTATTTAGAACAAGATAAGAATAATATGTGGTTGTGCTTCCTGAGAATAGGTCTCCAGCCTCTGGCAATCTTTGCCTTTGGGATTTATGGAGATACTGGCCATAAACAACAACAATTGAAGGGGACTGACCCCCTGTGAGTGGAAGATGCTGCACAGGACCTCTGATAAAAGGGGAATCCAACAACCTTTGGGGCTGGATTCAACACCTTCACAAGCAGGAGGTATTTCCCAATATCATCCTAAAAAACTCTCTTATTTTAGAGGATGCAGATTGGCCACAAAATTCCCCTCTTTTTCTTGCCCTCAGTTTCCCAGCCAAGCCACACGGGGGGTAGCTGGGCCTTGATGCTGCAGCCTGGTGGTGCATGTCTCCTCTCCACGGTGTGTGAGCACACGCTCCCCACTACCAGCCTTGAAACTCCCCCCTCATTAAAGCAGGCCAGGAGGAACACAAAGCTCTGTGTTTTGCTTGAGTCTCTCCTGTGAATAGGCGGAACAAAAGGTAAGCACAGAAAGCAAGAAGAAAAGTTGTCCAAACGGGCCATCAGTTTCCCTCATGGGAGAGGCTTTCCAAGCACTCCCCTTCCTCTCTGCCCTGCTTGGATGGGAGTGAGCTTTTTGATGAGCAACCAGGACATCCCTTCATCTCCCCACTTGTGTCAATTTTCTTTCCCCCTTCTATTGCATGTATGTCCACCCTCGCAGCCTTGCAACACATGGCAGGCTATACCAGGACATGAATGGCAAAGAAGGTCAAGCTGGCTTCCGAAACTCCTCCATTAGCAGAGCAGTGGCAGCAGCATCCCTTGAAAGAAAACGGCAGCAGGAGATCCTCATATTCTTTTCTGATAAATGCTTGTGAGTCGTGATGTGTTTTCTGTGATACAAACACCCCTTTCAAAACAACAGAGCAGGGAAGAAAAGGAGGGCAGTACCTGTCACAAAGCTGCTGGATGTGCTGGAAAGCAAGTTCCGGCTGCAGGCTGCAGGCAGTAAAATACTTTCTCTGCTGTCAGTGAGATGGCAAAATGCATCTCTTACAATGAAATGACATTGCTGTCCTCCCTTTGGGAAGTGAGTCACCTGGTGCTGCTGCTGGTTTTCAGTAAGGATTGCTGTATTTGCAGTCAGTAACACATGGAAGAATGGTCCTAAGGACAGTCAAAGCATCAGGGTGACACAGAGTGGAGCTGATGCTCAGTGCAAAGCGGGGCAGAGGCTGTCTGATCCTGCAGTGGCTGCCAATAATTTGTCCCTTAGCTGAGCTGTGTGCTTGGGGTGTGGAGCATCCTTTTTGTTCCCAAGATCATACCTATTTGTTGATATGAAAGGGGTGTATGGGTTCTCAGAGGGGGTTTCACCATTTCAGAGGTGTGCTCAACCCCAGCTTTACATTGCACATAGACATTGGTGCCATTTTAATGGTTAGTTCCACTTTTTCTCAAGTCTTTAGTGTGCTGCAACTGCATCTGCCTAAGCATTTGCTGGTTTTACAGGTATCTGAGAACTGCTCAGACCAAACCCATGGGTACAGAGGAGTTCTTCCTGAGTCCTCCTCTTCAGTAAACCTATTAATAACAAAGCAGCATCTGGAAACCAAATGTTAACACGTGCTCACTGGTCCAGAAGGTCTGCTCAGGTAGTAACAGTATAACATGTGATTTAAGTGCCAAGCATGGACTGATGCATTATTTCATTTATTGATGGCTGTGTGTGTAACACACTGATTTTACACAATCTAAAGAATATGGGAACCAGTTCAGAAAGAAATCTTTCAGGCTCAGGGTATAGATGTGTCTGTATATACTATATATAAACCATAGGATATAAGCCTCTGGAAAAATCTAGAGACCTTACTAAGGAAAAGGTCTGCAAGGTCCCACAAATAAGTGGCTTCAGAGAAGTTGAGAAGCTAACAGACATAGGAAAAAAGGAATGAGTATCTTCTTACAAGCCTGCAGCAGAAAATGTGCATCAGGCAGGGGGGAATGTTTTGAGTTATCACATCCAAACTCCTGCTTCCCGTCACATCATACATTCCCTTATCAAACCAAGTGCCAAGATGCCATCTTGTATTACAGAATGTCGAATAGGCATCCATTGGACTGGCTATGTCAAATACAAAATTTGAAATACTGTAAGTGCTGAAAATGGTCTTTTGCAATCTATGGGATGTTAC